CCCCAAAACCCCAAAACCCCAAAACCCCAAAACCCCTTTTCACCTTCAAAATTGAATGATTTCTACTTATTAACCGTGGTGTCATAATAAAATGCGAACATCTGGGTATCAACAAATTGCTTCATAAATGGACGATCTTTGCTCTATAAATATCAGAAATATCTTACGTTCTTCACTAGATAAGATTTGCAATCATTGAAGTCAAACTGGAGGTGGTTCATCCTCTGTCTTTCTTTGTACTTCCTAAAAGCACCTATAATAATATCTTCCAAAGATTCTTTAATAGTCTTAGCGATGTTCTCAGAGAAGCCTTTCTCTCGTGAAGAGGTGTCATAGATAGAACCTCTGATAAGATCCTTAGTCTGCTTGCGGAACTCCTTGAACATCTTCCTCAGATTCTTATTTAAGCCCTCTTCATAGGAATTCTGGGATCTCTGAGATTCCCTGGATTCTGATTGAATTCTCTTGGCATTCTACGATAATCTTATCTTCAAGAGCTTCAGCATCTATAAACTCAAAGAACTCTTCTTTGTCAGATAGGGCAAGTAAGATCGGCTGAGGTGCCCAGAGGTAATCTGTCAGAAGTTTTGGCAGCAAAGAGATGAACAAATGACACCACTTAAATGGCTTTAGCAGTATCCTGAAAGCATTCACCATACTTGTGACCAACCCGTGGTTCTCTGAGATAAATATTACAGATCTTTCCAGCAAAATAGCTTTGAAAAGATTGTAAAAATCTTTGAATTCTATCCAACTAAGAAAGAAGGGGCCATACCAGTGGATATCTGTGTACTCAGTAGATTCTGGGATGTGATAATCGAACTGACACACTTTATAAGGTATTTCAAGAGTTAAAGGGACATCTAGTTTAAAATCCTTAGGGTCAAGTTGATAGAATTCTCTTAAAGTTTCTTTACAAACATCTGAAATATTTGGCATACATATCATTGCCTCAATATCTCAGACTAAGTCCTTATATTCAGGCAAAATGTGTAGGTTCAGAAGCCGCTGTTTTGATATGGGAACTTTCATACTCGCTTGCTCGTGCTTTTGTATCTTTAACAAAGCAGAAAGAAATTTATAATGAAGTTCGAAATGAGTATTTCTTATCATGGTTCAATAAGCTTTATTTCGTAATGAACAGCTGTTCCATAACCTGCCCAGTAAGATCATTTTGCTTCACATTGGTAGATCTGAGCTCCTTGACCACAATAGTCAGGCAGTAAAGGTACTCGTCTTCATAAATAATTCCTTTATTGTAGTCATTTCCATTCAGAGTGAAAATAAAAGTGTCGTACAAGTAAATTTTCCTGTTATATAACACCTATAGAAAGGTTAGAAAGGCGTACTTACATCAGAGATCTTGACTTCGAGGTCAGGGATGGAGAGATCGACCCTCTCCACCTCTATTCCAACTGGAAATCAAAAATCCTTGATTATTTTATGCCGCTCTGAATGTTCCTCTGAGTTTGGATAATTATACAATAATCAAGGTCTTACTATTTCATACCTAGAATTTAAAGACATGAGAGTCATTTCATCAACTCCTACGATATAAAACTCCGCCATAAACTTCGGATTCTTCAAGTGCTTGAATTCTGGAGCTAAAGGAAGTTGCTTGACTTCACCACAATGCTCAGAGATATCTTCTGTGCAGAAATAGGAAGGCTGGATATCCATGTATTCATCCAAGCCTGTTGATGTGAATGGACCCTTGCTATCAGCTCTTTTGATTCTGAACTCATCAGTTTTATCTTGAAATGGAGTCACTTCTTGTTTGTTCTTGTGAGGCTCTTCTCCAAAAGGTTCGCCTTCTTCTCTCAAATGTACAGGCAAAGTAGCGGAAAGAGGTAGGATAGATTTCTTGCCTGGAGAGTAAATACTTCTGCCTAGCTTAGCAGATTCACCTATGATTTTATGAAAAAAGAATACCTAGAAATACTGACCCAAATTGAGGGTTCAAGAATAAATGGTTCTTATTGTTAATACTCTTGAAAATATCTTCCATATACTCTTTATTCTCTGTCGGGTTGTAAGGATTCTTGACTGTGGCAGACCTCTTCTTAGTCAGAGAAGGGAGCCTTATTTCCTTCTCAGGCTTCCGAAGTTTCTCAGGCATCTCATCAAAATTTTTAGTTTCTTCTTTCTGTTTAGTGATTGAAGATTTTCTCATGCTTTTTCTTGGAGGAACTGGGTCATAAATTGGTCGAGAGTCAAGAATAGAGTCCTCATCAAGATACCCCTTGAAATCTTCAAACATTTCTTTGGTCTTTACAGTTTTATCAATCGCTTCCTCACGCTCAAAGGAGCTATCTGAATACTCTGAGTCTGTTTCTTCATCTTTAGAAGAAGTTGAGGACTCGCTTTCTGATTCACTGTTAGACTCTTCCTTAGTCTCTTCTATAAAGTTGTAATAAACTTACGGTTTTGCTGGATTTTCCAAGGAGAAGCGACATAATGTTGCTGGTTTGGTGTAGGTCTTGCTGGGCCATCATCTACTTCTATATAATCATCATCAAGCACGATTTCTTCATCTAGCTTGGCAGAAGGATCTATATATTAACCTCCAGAAATCTACCGTCACTCTCCTCTTTGAACGTCCTCTTTGATTGATTCGTGAACTGTCTAGGTATGTTGTGAATTTTGGGAGTCTGGAGCCCTTCCACAGATTTGCCTAAATCTAAACCCACCAGGCGATACCTTTACTCCATTTATGGTTCCTTTTCTGCTGTTTACTCCCATCAGGCATGGCTCCGTTTCTCTTTTCACAGATGCCAAAGGGGCTCTCATCTGGAATTTCCTCTTCCTCGAACGACCTTTCGATCTCGAGTTTGGGGTTGTGTTCAGGGTCATATGTCTTGATGACATCTCTGTTCTTGAGGAATTTTTGTAATTTCCCTTTAGACCAGCCTGCTTTAGTGATCAGCCTATGGATGAAATTAAGAAATTTACCTGCTGAGTTCTTCTTTTTCATATCTTTCATTCTGGTATTCTCTCTCTAATCCCACATTCCTCATGACCATATTCTCGTATTGCTTATTTAAGCACATTGAGTTCTTCTAGTAGATAATCTCATCTTTGACATTCCTTCTGGGCTGGAGGCCTACAAAGCATGAATAATAGGAATTAGCAAAAGGGAGTAAAAGGTTATTTAGCTATACCAGACATTAGAGCCAGGACTCGTCTGCTGCCTGACCTTCACTGACTGCATTCTATGTGGTTTCTCTCCTCTTGGATCCATGTTTAAAATTTATTCTAATAATCTGAAATTTTTGGGGTTTTGGGGTTTTGGGGTTTTGGGGTTTTGGGG